TTTTTTTAATGTATCTTTATTGATTTCAGAGAAAGGAAAGAAGAGGGAGAGAGAGAGAGAGAGAAGCATCAATGATGAGAGAGTCATTGATAGAGCCCGCAACCCGGGCATGTGCCTTCACTGGGACTCGAACCCTGATCGCCTGGATCCCAGGTCGACGCTCAACCGCTGAGCCATGCCTGGCCGGGCTATATTGAGAATCTTAATAAGAACAGCACTGGTTATAATTCTTTTAACTGGAAGAAAGTTTTAGAACAGATAATAAATTTTATACTTTAAAAATCCTGCTAAAGTACAGTTTTAAAGGCTTAATTTTTAATTGTGTAGCAATATATTAAAATTAGTTTGTTATAAATCTGATGTTGAAAAATTCTAAATAATCTTATTTTCTCTTTAAACATTTGAAAAAACTGATCATTCACATTCCTCAGCCTTTTTAATCCTCAGCTGAGGATGTTTTTATTGATTTTAGAGCGGGGGAAAGGGGGGGGTGGAGAGAAACAGGTGTGAGAGAGAAACATCCATCAGCTGCTTCCCGTATGCCCCCTACTGGGGATCCAACCCGCATCCTAGGCATGTGCCCTGACCAGGAACTGAACCTGCAGCCTTTTGGTGTGTAGGACGATGCTCCAACCAGCTGAGCCCCCGGCCAGGGCAGCGCCTTTATTTATTGTGTACATATCGTGTAACATCTCCCTCACTAAATAGCTATGCATTGTGCACCTTGTCAGGATCAGCATAGGACATAAACTTCATTTTTCAGATACGCTTCAGAGCCTTGTTGGACAGCAGAATGCCCGTCATGGTATAATAAAAATATTCAACGCGCTGCAAGAAACGAGAGCCAACAAGCATCTGTTATATGTGAGTAACTTAAAGCCTTCCAGAGGGTTAACTGTTCCTTTCATTTTACATTTCTATTCACATGTGTGGTAGATTTTAATTCTTTCTATCCTTAATCATTTGTATTACTTGTAACTCTGAACCCATTTTCTCTGCCTATTAAGTGTCATGGAAAAGAAGAGAAGAACGAAGTGCCCTGTGGGCGTGTCGTTCTCATTCTGCACACTGTTCCCCCCTTGACCTCCGGTGTCTGTGACACGACTGCTTGGCCTTCTTATGCCAACAAAGCAGACTGTGCCCGCACGCTCTGATTGGAGGTGGGCGGCGAACGGACCGCGAAATAACTGAATTCCGTTCCCTTGACAGTACCGTGCTCACCGAGAATGATCGCAGACCTAGAATTAGCCTGTTCTCCTAAACGTAGGTATTTGAGAAACCCTTAGAGAAAAAAACACGTTTCTCTCCTCTTGTTTCCTCCTTTCTTGATTCAGGTGCTGCTGGAGCTGCTGCTGATTGAACTGTGTCCTGAGCTGAGAGCTCACATGGACCCACCGAGAGCCGGCCAGGTGTGAGTCTGCGCAAATAAACCATTGAGAAATGTCTGTGCTAATAGACATGAACCATTTCCTCTTTTCCGCAGAGGGCTGCCTGAGAACAGTACTGATTCTGTTTGGTGACCTCCCCCTAGTTTTATGTGAAGTAAGCAGAACATGCTGTAGCAGGCGACAGAAGACCACTTCTGTTAATTATTGGGTTTTATTTTAATAAGAATATAAATACTTTACAGTTGAAATATAAATGTTAATGTGCTAAGAACCTAGGAAATATTATAAATATTTATGAAAAGTTTTCTTTTAAAATAAAGATCTGTGAATACTGTACAGTGGATTTCCCCCCTGAGGATTTCGAACATTCCTATACTCGTGTGTATTGAAGAACACTGTTGTGCAATGCTGTATGCAAAGCTGTTGTGAAAATCTGTCTTTATTTTTACCAAAGATTTCCCATAGTTTGAAGCACTTGAAGCAATAAAATATAAAAAGGAAGCATAGAGCCCTGTGATGTTTAAGGCACTAAATCTCAAAAAAAGGGGTTGAAACACTTCAGGCAGTTCAAATGTTTATTTTTTGTTCTGTAGGAAACACTGTGCACTAAGTACCTCTGTAAGGAAATACAAAGTTTGCTGCCCTTTCTCCAGGCACAGAATGAATATGTGAAGATGCTGCTGCTTAATGCGAATGAGAATAGCCCAGTTAGTGCTTGAATGATGTTACGGAGGTGGTGGGATGTGAGCTGAACTGAAGATGGGCGTGAGAGGGAGACGGGAAGAGGAGGGGGGCTGGAGTTTAGGCACGTGACTGTATCATGGAGTCTGTGGACCAATAGGGGCATGAGGTGAGATCAGGGCACAGATGCTGGTTGACTGTTAATAGTGACCCCACTATCAGTGGACAGCTCACTCACTTTCTCTTACGCAGTGGTAATAAAACACTTTCCCCTCCCTAACCTCTAAGAGTATTGAAAGCAAAACCATTAATAGGCAGAAATTCAGTTTGAAATCCACGGAGAAGTACTTATATATTAAAGTGGTATTGATTATATTGATCAATCAGACCTGCCACGTTCTTGATGTGAAACATAACTTCTGGAAGATAAATTAAAAGTTAGTAAAGCAGATTTTATCTTTGGGATTCTTACAGTTTCAGCTCGTTGATAATTATTTATCAGACCAGGATGATAGCTGACACTTTGGATAAAAACCTAAGCTGGGTGTTTATATGGATAAGAATTATCCTCCATAGGAATGTAGAAAAGCTATTCAGAGAAGAGAAGCAGTGTGAAGTCCCAACCTCAGGACTCCTCGTAACACAGTTCCTGAGAGTGTCCATCTTCTGCATGATTTCACTAGAGCTGTTAAATTTCTACTGCAAATGAGTAAACTATATTGACTCCTCAATCTTTAAGGTAAATTCTCATTTTTCATGAGATATCTGTTATAAGGAATCTTAGGCGAGTTTTGATCTTTTTTGAAAAAGGCTAATGATGATCCGGAAGCCTCAACTCACCTGAGTTAAGACCGACTGACGCCATTACAGGTCAGGGTGTACAGCATCATCAGCGGCAGTGGGCATTTGCAGGGCTGGCCTCTGCCAGCACCAGCTTTATGGCAACTACAGAGATTTTCATTCTGTCGGCATCACTGAAGACATTAAGCATAACATGTTACCACCAACTACGCTGTCAGATACCCGAGTTTAGGATTTCTCAGACTTGTGTTTTGGTTTAGTTTAGTTTTTTGCACATGAGGATGATTTATTATTGGTCACTGATTAGAGAGCAAGCAGACAGGCAGAGTAAGAAGAAGGATAAGTTGCATATTTTTATTCAAATAAAACTTAAAGCTCCTTGTTTGGGGGGGAAAAGCAGGCGTGGAGAGGTGCAGGGTACAGCCCATCCGACCTGTGTTTTGACGGCAGTTGAAAAAGTGTCCTTTACTTTGGGGTGAAGATAGCAAGTGTGTTAAATGTGCTGTTAGAGGCAGCCTGCACTGCTTTACTGTGCTCCCACTGACAGTTCTCAAAGACGGGCGTAAGGGGCTGGATTAAGTGTGGAGGAGAGAACGCTGGTGGTGAGCTTGGATCTCCAGGTGGCTGAGGGAGTGTTAGAGGAATGGAATTAAGAAAACAAGAGCAGAGCAAGGGGGCTCGTATTGTAGAAAGAGAGAAAGTGAGATATTATGAAATCTTGTTGTGGCTTGAGACACTGTAATGTGTTCCTGGAGGAGAAGAGAGTCTTCAATAGAGATTTTCAAAGAAAAGAGATGGTTTTCAGGGATGGCTTAAGTTTACAATTTTTAAGAGACTTAAGGGAGAAGCATATGACCGCTTGAGGGAATGTCACAGAAAATTCTTTTGAAATGTCTTCCTTATATATAAAGACAAAGTTCAAGTGATCTAGACAAACCAGACCATGGAACAAAGGCAAGCCACCTTCTGCCAGGCAGTACTTCCTTAGTGACTGGCACCTACAGAGTAATTACATTTCCCACGCCTAAGACAAAATCTTGTTTAAATCCACTTTCAGAAAGGATGCTTGTGACTTTTTAAAGTAAAGCAACATTAGTTTAATATGCTTACAAAGAATATATTAGGGTATCTTTAAGGCATCATTTTTGTTTCACAGATGTACCACTATAGTCTTCTGCATAAGAATTCTATTTTTCTGTCAACTTTTGCCTTCACTGATGTCACTGATATAAAGAAAGCCTCTTGCTAATTTAATTTTTAGCCATATTCAGTTATAGTTCTATACTGATGATTTCATTGAGTTTTTTTTCACATTTTATCTTGCTTTGAAATACAGCTGGGTTTTTTTAAAATGTAGAAAATGAAGCACAAAGAAAACACCTTGCTTTAATTGATTGTCTTATCAGGAATACAACAGTTGTTTCATTGAATTAAGATATTTGCCCAGCCAGGTGTGGCTCAGCGGTTGAGCGTCGACCTAGGATCCAGGAAATTTCATTTCAGTTTGATTCCCGGTCAGGGCACATGCCCAGGTTTCGGGCTCAGTCTCCAGCAGGGGGCGTGCAGGAGGCAGCTGATCAGTGACTCTCATCATTGATGTTTCTCTCTCTCCCTCTCCCTTCCTCTCTTTGAAATAAAAAGATCAATATATATATATATATATATTTTTTTTTTTTTTAAAGAGATTTAAGTGAAGATATGGAAGGGCAAGATTCTAAGCAATTTCCTTTTTTTTAAAAAAAATATGTTTTTATTGATTTCAGAGAGAGGAAAGGAGAGAGAGAGAGATAGAAACATTAATGATGACAGTAATTGATTGGCTGCCTTCTGCACTCCCCTACTGGGGATTGAGCCAAAACTCGGTAGGGGCACATGTCCAGGTTTCAGGCTCAATGCTTAACCACTGAGCCACATGGGCCAGGCTAAGCAATTTCTTAAGCCTACTGTTTTTAAAGTTTATCATAAATCAGCCACATTATTTACAAGAATCTTTTGACAACACGAGATGTCCCAGAAGGCTTAGTGCAGTCTTAGCTTTAGTAACTTCAGAAGCATAAGTGCTACACAAATTTAAAAAACAACAACACATTACTTAAAAGTTCCTTTAAATTTCTATTTATTTATTTATTTATTTATTTATTTATTTATTTATTTTGGTGAATTTTAAGTTTAAAACTTTAAATAACAAGTTAAAATGACAAATTTATTCAGAATCATATCTAAAGTTTTTATAAGTTGTAGCAATTATACTTCTGATGTTATTAAAACTAAGGCTGCACTAAGTCTTTTGGGACACTATTTAAAGAAAGAGAAAAGATACTTGCTTTATGGAATGGTTTTCAGTGTTTGCTGGGCTCTAGGCCAGTCTGTAGGCTAAGAGCTGGATTTCTGAGGACTTGTCCAGCAATCTGATGCTGTAGCTAGGTTTCAAGTTGCAAAATTACAGAATACAAATTCAAGAACGAAGGTAACATGTCATCAGAAAAAAAACAAGATAATGTATCTTGAGGTGCAGAAAGTAACCAAACGTAGCTGTTACAAAAATACACACATTTCAAGGTGTTAGGATGATGACCTTGTGGAGGTGCGACCTTGTGGAGATGCTCTGTGGTCTAAATCCTCTGATGAATAAGTAGAGAGTGAAGCTCATCTGCCAGTGCAGGGTTCAGACAACAAGCCTGAAAGTCCAAGACAGAGTTGGTTATTTAGATATATGTTGAGTTGTTGGACCTTTCTTCCTTTTTAATAACTTTTCGTTTGTTTTTAAGAATAGTAAAATACAATGAATTTCAAGGGAGTTTCTTAATTAAGATACACATCTATTCTGATTTCTTAATTTGGGAAGTTCAAATTAGCCTAAGTAAAAAAGATCATACTAAAAATATCCATGTTCTTATCACTTGACAGAAAATTTTTTCAATGTCAAGAATAAAGAGAATTTGTGCACTGATGAAAATAGCATTTCTATGATATGAATTATTAAAATAAGTAATATGGAAAGCATTAAATTTAACACTTGGCCTCAAACTTGTTATCTCATTATATGAATAGCAGCATCCATAATAACCATATTTTAAAGTATGTAGTTAATTAGACTAAAGCAAATAGTGATATGTAATAGTTCATAATTTCATAGAATGTCAAGAATTGGGATGAGACGTAGGAGGTTATCTCATCCGAACCTCACTCCATGCAGAAATTGTCCCTTCAGTACTCATGACAGTTGGTTACTAGATAGTTGCTTGGTTGTTTCTAGTGGCAAGAAGTCACCACCTTATAGGACCATCTTTCGTTATTTCCTAAACAGTTGTATTAGAAGATTCTTGTTTATATTAAGTTAAAAATTCCCTGTGTACTTTAGAATCATTGAAGGGTCCTAGGAGAACATAAAGTGCTGGTCTCATAGAAACGCCAAGAGGTAAAGTAGTTGGCAGTCCCCTAGCCTGACGGAGGCAGAGCTGAGACCAGGCTTGGGTCTCCTACCCTTTCCCATAGTGCACTGCGGGTGGCTGTAATTCTGCTCCCTCCTCCACAGTTCCTTTTCTATAGGGCAGCTTCTCATCTGGTGAAGGCCCCTATTAGGACCCCTCGGATCCTTCTTCTCTGAATAAAACACTGAGTTTCCCTTACCGTGCCTTATGTGACAGGATTCCATACCCTTCACTGGCTTGTTACATCTGAATTATCTCCATTTTAAAAGTACCTCCCATAAAATACAGTGGCCATAATTGAGTAATGGGGCCATTATCTCCCACCACATGGAAAATTGTTCTAAGAAAGCAGGTTGTTTGTTTCACTATTTTACTTAGGGTAAACATTTGCCACAATTCAGGATGTTTCTGACCCAGAGTTTTCTTCGCTTATATTTATTTAGAAAAGATACTGAGGATAGCATACAATGTGAAATTGACTTGGTTTGGAAATTGGTATAATACATTGAACATTTACACTTTTAAAAAGTTAGACAACTATTACTCATATTAATGAAAAGGGGTAGTGATAAATATCGCAAAGGTTGGTTGTGTTTGTGTACTGTGTTTCTACATAATTTAGGGTTCCCAGACTTGCCTGCCAAGGTTCCCAAACACTGGAATCCCAAGGAGCTTCAGTATATACTCTGTGTCCCACTCCCGGAGCTGGAGATTGAGTTGCTCTGAAGTGAGGCCTGGGCTTTGGAACTTCTGAGGGATCCCCAGGTGATTTTAATACACAGACAAGCTTGGCAATCACTGCTGTCAGATCAGAGTCAGGCAGGGGGTTTCGGAAATTGTTCCTTGACCTGTCCCCCTGCTCAAGCTGAACAATTTGTGTACTCTACAAATTGCTTTATAAATTTTATGATGATGTCATTCTAATTTGGACCTCATGGATGTCATGGACCTCAGGAATGCAATCTTTTTGTTTTTTCTTATTTTATTCTTACTCTAGGATATGTGTTTATTGATTTTGAGAGAGAGAGGATGCGAGAGAGGAAGAGAGAGAGAAACACCAATGTGAGAAGCATTGACTGGTTGCCTCTTGTATGTGCCCCAATCAGGGATAGAACCCAAAACCTTTTGGAGTGTAGGACGATGCTCCAACCAACTGAGCCACCCAGCCAACGCTGTTTTTTCTTTTTCTTTTTTCTTTTAAAAAAAAACTACTCACTTGCAGTTACTCTTCATAACGATCCATTGTCTCCCACCTCTCCCCACTTCTAATGTTTGTTTGATTTTTAGATGTGAAGTCTGTTGGGATTTGAATAAATTAATCACATGGATTAAAACATGAAAAGTCTTATTTTAACTGGTTACCTCAAACTCATGAATATTCCTCCTCAGTGTGGTAGATGTCATGTGTAAGAAGCTTTTTAAAAACATTTCATTAAGGTACCAGAATGAGGATACAGGCTCACGCTTCAGGTGAAAGATGTGAATGTTCTGGCTTTAATCTTGGCGCTGATGGCAGCCGCGTGGGAGAGGGGAATGGGACTTTTAGTCAAGCCAGTAAGAACCCGGCGGACATTCTGCGTGTCTGACAACCTCTCTGTAGGCAGGGGCTATCTGTGCAATAACTAAGAAGACACTGATCCATAAAGTCAAGTCTCAACTGAAAGCCCAGAAATCCGTTTCCTGTTTGCTCTCAGGCTCACTTACCTTAGAGTAATAGTGTTTGGCTGCTGCTTCGTCCTTCGTGATCCCCAGGCCGAGCTGCAGGCAGCGCGCGTGGTAGAAGGCGGCCATGGCCATGCCTCTGCTGATGAACTCCGGGAGGCAGTCCGTGACCTGGGCGATCGTGGCGATGTCGTGCACCTCGTCATAATCGGCAATCCTGCAGGACGGAGAATCGTGAAATGAACTGGACGTCGGTGATGGTGTGCATTTTCACAAGCAGCGTGGCCGGGAACTGTCCTTGTGCCCAGTGATTTCCCCTTTTCTACCTGCTGAGTGTTAACAAAGCTGCTGGGCGGTGAAGGGCGAACATAACACAGTCCCAGGAAGACTGGCTGTGTGCTGGCTTCCCTGTGATTACACCCGCCTGGCTTGCTAACCCAGAAAATAACTAGAGCAGAAAAGAAAGGTGATTTCCTTGTAATGTTAATATTTTAAAGTTAATATGACTATAGATTTCAACAATGGGGAGAAAGTATTTTCTGTTTCTTCGGGTCACTTATTTAAACATCAACCTTAAATTTGGACCTTTGTCACATAAGACCAGAAAACACGTTAAAAACCTTGCACATCTATCTTTCGTGAAAAGTGGGCAATAAACAGAGCTCGTTCTGTATAACGCAGGCATGGATGCAGAGACTACGAGATCCACTCAAGGCTGCGTTAAAACGAATGTTACGGGGAACAAGAATGTGGACAGTAATGGGGAGTTTCAAGAACTTTGTCAAGTCTTAGTTTTCATCAGATGGACACTTGGAGATTTGGGACGTCAGAGATGACGCCTTTACGTGACCTGCTGCCTGGAAGCGAGGATGTGGGAGGAGGGTGGAAGCGGCATCTTTATCATAACTCCGTTGTCCGTGGTGGCCCCACGCGGGGCTCAGAGGGAGGGGAGCCCGTGTGCGTTACTGGGGGAAATCAGCGTGGGCTTGTGCCGCTCTCCAGAACACCGGCCGCTGTTTTCCTGGCCTGTTGCTTCTGTACATGATGGGTAAGCAAATGTAGGAAAGTCCATGGGCTCAGAGCAAAGACATTTCTGTGTTTTGTGGAAATTTCCAAGTATTTGGTCAGATGCCAGTGTTGGAGTCTTGTAACCATTATTCCCATTTCACAGCCCTTATTAAGCTGTATTGCGATCGTGTAATTATAGAACCCGTGGCTAAGGATGTAGGAAGAGGTGAATTTAATATTTAATATACATTTCTAATGTGTCAAGCTATGGTAAGTACTTTACCCTATTTTTAGAAGCCTGCAGTAGAAGTATGTTCTTATAAATAAAGCAGTTGATGCCCCCATAAGTTAAGGAACTTGCTTAAGCTCACTCAGCTGGTATCCAGAGCAGATAGACCAATGGCATAGAACTGTACTGATACGGCAGCCACTAGCTACATGTGGCTACTTAAAGGAAGTAAAATCCAGTGAAATTTAAATTTCAGTCCTCGGTTGCACAAACCATCAAGCGCTCAACAGCCATCATTTACAATATTGTAGCAAGTCCTGTGAACACCTGCCACAGAACACCCAGCAGGCGTTTCTGTAAACGCTTCATCCAGCTTACCTTTTGGAAAATGCGACACACTTTGTAAAGAACTTCATGTTGTAGTAATACTCCACGAGGTTCCCTTGAGCGTAGACGTTTCCCCGCCCCGCTGCTTCCTGCAGGCAGTGCAGGGCCGCGTCTGTGTTCTGGTGGATGCCGTGTCCGTAGAAGTACATGAGCCCCAGTGCACCCTGGGACTCCAGATTTCCATTGCCGCAGGCTTCTGAATGCCAAAAAAATGCCTTTACGGAGGCAGTTTCATCTTGTTACTCACAAGGTGAAATTACAAGGGGATACCAGAAAGCAAAAGGTCTCTAATAATAAGATAGTGCTGTTAATTCATCTCTAGGAAATGTAGGGTGTCCCCCCCAAAATGTATACACACTTTTAACAGCTGATAGCTCAACTGATGTTTCTTTTCACATTTAACCCATTGGAATTATTTGAAGTGTATATACATTTTTGGGGCAACACCCTGTAGTTCTAGCTTTTGAAGGTATTTCTAGCTAGCATCAACTTCATGTGCCTTAAAGAGAGAGTGTAAGGGGAGCCCCCCTGTTGTCTGCTCCACAGTGCAGGTGAGGTTTCGGCCTAGAGTTCAGCATCTCAGGCATCAGGATTTTCCGATTTTCCACAGGAAGGATCAAAAAGGTGGGAAATAGGAACAGAGTGTGTGTGAGGCTTTGAAACACACCTGCTACTAGGGACAGGGGGAAGGGAAGAGCTGTTGAAGCTCAGGGAAGTCAGAGCTCAAGTGGATCTCATCAGAGATGGTGCTCTCAAGATCAAAGGCAACCAAGGACAAAGGCTGCAGGGAGGCTTAATACTGTTACTGTGAATGTGAATGAGTTCAAAAAATTATTTACAAGTGGCTGCTCAGTTGTCCAAGGAGGGTCTTAAATTGTTAGGTGCCTCTTACGAGTTTGCCCTTAAAGCCTCTTAGAAGTAGGACTCAGCCCTGCGCCTCCTTTCCCTTCTAAGACTTCTTGGAAAATATTTCATCACTGATGAGGAAAGAGATTCTATTTCTTTAAAAATCCTAAGTGGATTTAATTTTCTATTCTTAGTATATTTTACTTATTAGTATCATTGTTACTTCCTTAAATCAAGTGTAATAATTTATTCACACTTAAAAGGATTTGGGCTTTATCTCAGGACACCCCCCCC